GAAAATAGCATAATGTAAAACTGTCTTTAGAACATGTTCTATTTTTCATGCTATTTTCTTGCAATTTATCGTTAAAATTCATGTTGCCAACATAATAATTTATAATAGATTACAGAATAAAACATAACCTTATCTCTATCTTTAGCGTCCCTTAGCCCACGTGTGTATTGTTTTGTTTTGATTTAAATTAAGTTTATTAAGTGGTGATAAATAGATATACTATGTCTAAAGTTAATGTAAAAACGACTGGGTCAGTCGTTGACTATGGATGATTGTTGCTACAACAGTAATATTCAACAATACCAATGTTTTCTTTTCTTTGGTTCACATCCTTCACCCTTTTAATAACCATAAATAGTGTACCTATATTTATTTATTATATTATTTATTTTAGTACTTAATTATATTTATTTAAAATAAAATAACCTCAAATTGATAAATATTTTCTCTGTTGGCAACAATGAAAGTGGGATCTAAAATTGCACAGAAATATCTCTGATGTAAAAAGGTCAAGCTAGGCAAGAGATGTGCCATGCAAGACGGACTTGCATAGCATGAGACTTGCATAGCCTAGATGTAAAGCTGCCTTTAAAGCGTTTTTATGAAGAAGATTTGTTTGGAACACACTGTAACTGTAATCGAACGAAGGTGATATTTAGGCATAAATTGGTAACACTTACTTGACAGTTGCGATTTTGACACTTTTTGTATATTATTTTAAATTTTAAAGTGAATACTTCTTGTTTTATATTTTTACCTATTTAATAAAATCTGTTCTTTTTAGAACGAAATTAGCGTGTTTTATTCATCGAGCAATAAGACAAAAGAGGGAATCTAATCGTTATAAAAAGGAGACCAAAAAAGTGGCCTCTGATGGCGGACACATCCGGAAATGCAAAGGCGCTAAATTTAAAATTTCCAACATTTGTTAACAATAGCTATAAAATATTTTTCAGACTAGAAAGTTTTAATTAAACATTAACGATAATAGTCTAAAAAGTGACATAATTGGTAAAAAACTTCAATATAAATAAAATTTCATGTGACAGTTGGGACAAACAATAACATAACCAAACTAAATTTGACTTCTTAAACAAGGAAAGAGACTGTCTATCCTTGTCTAAAGTGGCCTCTCAAGATGGCACTTCCTGTCTATCAATATGTTTACCCCTTCTACCTTTACATTCCCTCTTTTGTCTTATTGCTCGATGGTTTTATTTCAAAAATGTCACGTAAGAATTTAAACAGTCGTTGTAAAGAGATGGTAATACTTTTGCAATAATTATGTCAACTATTTGGAGTCAACTTCGATCTCTGTCAATGATAACGTGACGGTGACGTGCAACGGTAAGTAAATTAGATGAAGTATAAACAAATCAAAATATCTGGTCTGGATGAAATTTATTATAAATTGTCAAAACAAGTTTAATTTATGTTTTGCTTTTATTCCTGAGAAATGGAAGTGAATTCTATTATTGATATAAATAATATAACACAAAAAAGCGATACTAAATTAATACAATATTTGCAAAATATTGGATTACTTAAAGAACAATTTAAATGTAAAGTTAGACAATGTCGACGTCTATGTGTAGTAAGACAGAAAAATGGGTATAAATTAAACCATGGTTTTTGGTGCAGTATTATAAATGCAAAAAAATATATTCCGTATGTACAGGTACATTTTTGTGAAGGATTACCAGTCAGGATTCTATTTTATGTAATGTGGTTTTGGGCAAGTCAGACGCCAGTTAAAAGTGCTGCAGAATTAATGAATTTGGAAAAACGATCTGTTATACAGGTATATCGGTATTTTCGAGATGTGGTTTCTTGGAAACTGTTGTAAGAGGAAGAACCATTTTTATTAGGTAAAATAAAAAATATTAACATTTAGTTATTTTTCACATTCTTATTATTACAGGTGGAGAAGGACACACAGTTCAAATTGATGAAAGTGTTGTAACAGAAAGAAAATATAACCGTGGTAGAATAATTTAAAAACAATGGGTTTTGGGAATGTATAATATAGTTTTAAAAAGGGGGTACATAACATATTTAGAAAGTAGGAAAGAAGAGGTATTAGTGGAGATTATTAAAAAACACATCCGGGAAGGTAGTGAAATATGGACAGACCAGTGGAAGGGATATTCCAACTTAAAAATTTTAGGGTATATTCAGAAAACTGAATCACACTAAATTTTTTAAAGATCCACTAACTGGGATCTGTACAAATCAGGTAGGAGGGTATTGGTCTCGTCTTAAACAATACCTAAGACCAGTTGGAGTGATGAGCCCTCCATTTCTACCGGAATACATCGACCAATTTATGTGGAATGTATTATATGGACACAATGTTCATGATAGGTTTAAGAACATAGTAGATTTCATTAGACAGAGGTATAGCTAATTTATATATCTACAAATAGATATATAATATATATTGCCATACTTCTCAGCCAAAGAGCAAAAAAAAAATAAATAGACCATTTAAATAAAGTCTCAAGACATCCTGACAAGTTTTAAAGATATTCATTGAAATTGGCTTTAAATTGGTTTTATCTTCAAGAAGACTTAAATATTCTTTTTGTGTAAATTTTATTGTATTCATTTACGCTGATTGATAACAGCAAAATTTGATAATTGTTTTATTCTTCTTTAAATAAAATAAAGAATACCAATTTTTTGTAACATACTATTTTTATTATCCTTTTTCTCTATCCCGATAAAGGACAACTAGGAAATATTTGGACCCACACAACATAGGTTAATATAAGGAGATTTTTCACCCTGAGAACAATTAAGTTATGTTTTTGATTTGCTCAATTAATCAAGTAAAAAAAGAAATAGCATAACAATATCCATCTGTAGGAAGTCATCTCACACCCCAGGAAGGGAACTCGTATATTTTTATCTTAATAATATACACTGATTAATATATTTTACCTTAATTATTTTTGTTTAGGTGAAAACAGTTTGAGTTGCCTTCCTGGGGTGTGAGATGACTTCCTACGGACGTCGGTAGGTCATCTCACACCCCAGGAAGGGAACTCGTATATTTTTATCTTAATAATATACACTGATTATTATATTTTATCTTAATTATTTTCGTTTAGGTTAGAATAGGTTCTTAGGGCATAAGATGGGGAATACCCCAGGAAAGTACTCGATATATTTTATCTTTTAGGTAAAACTATGGACTTAACTATTGTTGCGTTAATGCAGAAGTATGACAGACAGGATAAAGTGATCACATATGCTCGTCGAACTCTCACACCGGCTGAGACAAAATACTCCACAACCGAAAAAGAACCGGTCGATCCTGTACGAAATAAAACAAATGAAGCCATACATAGAATGATACAATTTTAAGGTCATCTCAGACCACCAGTCATTGAAATGGCTGAAGAACCTCAAAAATCCCTCGGGTCAATTAACTAGGTGAAGTTTAGTACAACAGTACGACTTTCTGGTAATATACAGAAAAGGAGTTCTAAACAAGGTAGCAGATGCTTTATCCCGGCAACCACAAGAAACTCGTAGAGAAAAACCAGAGCTCTAATTATTAGCATCAACACTAGAATCGTGCAAATGGTAGGGTAATTTATACAGAGAGGTCCTTCAAAACTTAGGCAGATTTCCAAATTTACAAATATTAGACGGCAGTCTGTATAAACATACGATTATTTAGAGTAGCCGAAATTTAGCAGACCCAGAATGGAAATTATGAGAGTATAAAAGGAAAGAACTTTTAGAGGAGAATCACTACACGTTAATTGTATTTTATTTTTTGGAGATATTAAACAGTGGGTGATATCACCGCCGTCGCTATATTGACGTTTTAATTTTTATTGTGTATATTACCTAGGACCTAATTTCATTTTTTTTATTTCGAATATATTTTTATTTAAATTAACCTATGTTTTACTGATTTCGTTGTCTAAAAGAGCAACCTGTCACAATAGAAGAATTCTGGGTGTACCCTGGACACAACATAGAACCAAACTGTTAATTCTGAAGGAGCTTCATACAAAAGACAGGCTATTAAAAAAAGTAAACCGAACATACCTAATTTACTTCGGCCACATAGCTAGATGAACGGGGACCATGGAACTATTCGCACTAGAAGGAAAGGTAGAAGGCCGAAGACCAAAAAAGGCTCTGGTGGGAAAATCTCTATATGAAGCCACCCATATGGCCCAGGATCCCAACGAATGGAGACAGCAAGCTAATAATATTTAGAGTGTCACCACGCCCTGACAAAGGCCCAAGAAATAAGGAGAATACTTTGTAAAATGCGGAGCTACATCTAAGAAGATTGTAAAACTTACTTTCATTTCTTGTAGTGGCTTCTCGGTTATGTTAGTAAATATGTATTCTTGATCAATCGCTGAATGTTTATTTCTGATGCCAAATTGATGATTTGGCTGAATCTAAGAGCAGTCCCCAATAAATTGTGTATCTGTTAGTATTTGCATGGACTCTACTCTGAGTAGCGCATGCCACGGTATAACTTCCACCTTTCTATCCTTACACTTTTTCCCAACATCATTTTCACCATTTAACGTCTTCTTCTTCATCAAGTGCCGTCTTCGTTCCGAAGTTTGGCTATCATCAAAGCTATGCGTATTTTTGATGCTGCAGATCTAAACAGTTGGTAATTGGTGCAATTGTACCATTCTCTCAAGTTTTTCAACCATGAATGCCTTCTTCTTCCTGTAGATCTCTTTCCCTGTATAATCAATTGCAGCAACTGGTATTTATCTCCCCTTATAACATGTCCCAAATATTGTAGTTTGCGCTTTTTAACAGTAAGTATCAGCTCTTTCTCTTTCCGCACTCTCCGCAAAACCTCCACATTTGTTACTTTCTCTGTCCAGGGTATTCTTAATATTCTACGATACATCCACAACGTCTACGACCTTTAAACGAACTCATTATAAATATTTCTTTCAAGTAATTAAGTTATGAAGACGATAATTGTGTGACTAAAAGTAATAAAGCACAATCTCACTTTTATTTATTACAAACAGTGTAAATAATTACATAACGAAATATAACAATTTTACATTATTATCATTATTAAAACTATCTACGCCTTCCTCCAAAGAATTTTGATTTGAACTTAGACTTAATACCATGAGCAGGCCTTACAAGACGTTTCCTTTCTTCCCTGTGTTTTTTATTTTTCTCCTCTAAGGACATATTCCTCTTTTTACGGGTAGAGAATGTCATCTCTCGATTGCCTACAGAGCCCAAGAATCTTACCGACGTATCTTCTGATTGCAATCTTTCACTCAGTGTAGCCCTGAAAATATAAATATTAAAGTAATATGATTATATCGGCACTATCATATACATCGTGTAATAGAAAAATAGATAAATTCACATCGGCAACCATTTCATCACTTAGAACAAATATCTTTATCCTTTCTGAATGTTGAAATCTCTAAGGACGATGTTGGGTATGCAACTAAACTAAACACATAAAAATATCTAAGGAACAAAGTTTTTTTCTCGTATACATTTTGATTGGATTTTAAAAAGTGACATCGTTATAATGCCTGATTATTCAGCAATGAATATATCTTAATTTCAGTGTAATATGATTTCTCAATGGTAAAATAATCAAACAAAAGTTAAGAAGTGCAATAATTTAATGGAAATTTTTAACATAAAAGTCAATATAAAACATAAAACTCAAACAAAAAATGTGTTTAATAATCTGTGTTTCCTCCAGCACGATTAACTACAGCTTGAGGCCGCCTTGGCATGCTTAAAATTAAATAATCAATTTCATTTTGAGACATGAGGATCCATTCCTGTGTAAGAAGATCTTGATGACCTTGTCTAGCATGAACATTGTGCAGATGAGGAGCAATCAGTTCTTGAAGCATATCCCATGCGTCATTTTCGACAGGATTAAGATCTTACGATTGTGCTGGCCATGGTAAAAGTGTAATATCCTCATTATGAAACCAATCTCTTACTGTTGCTGCAGTATGTGGCCTTGCCTTATCCTGCATGTAACTCAAATTAGAACTTGCAATAGTGGCAAATGGAAGGACACAGGTTCTAAGATACAATCAATATATTGATATTGATTCAAAGTGCCTTTCAAAAAAAAAACGAAAAGTTCGATGTTAAAAAAATATTCCAATCTAGATTAAAACTTGTAGACCACTATACGGACGAACACCCTGTACATGCCTGAGTCTCTCTTGTTGACCAGGTTCTCTCCAAACTCTCACTCTTCTTGTATAAGGGTAGAGACAAAACCTAGCTCTATCTGCGAATAACACAGAAGTCCATTCTTGCAAACCCCAATGCACATGTTGTTGTGTCCACCTTAATCTGAGTCCACGATTTACATGGCGTAATATGAAAACCCTCAATGGACGTCTGGCGTTCAAACCACCTTCATGTAATCTATTTCTCAAAGTTTGATCATATACAGTAATGTTGTGGGTATTTCTCAAAGCTTCATAGAGTTCACATGCAGTTATATGCACATTTCAACGAGCTAATCCTACCATATAACGATTCTGTCGAAGAGTAGTTGCGCGTTGTTGTTTGTTTGTTTGTGTTTAAATGACTGCCGACACTAAATCCCTTCGCCAATCTTACAATTTGTACTCATTTTTTCATTAGTCATTGTTTCCTATACAATCTTATACTAAAGTCCTACTAATACTAATTCTATTACTAATATTGATCTCTAATATATAGTCTTTTATATCTCTAATATAAACCCACCAAACTCTATTTTTTCTGGCTGAGACTATTTTCCACTTACTGCGCTGCTTCGTCGCATAAATATAAAAGTGCATGTAAATGACCGATCTTAACTTTCAGCTCAATCTAAGCTCAGTGGGACTAATAACGTCACGCCGACATAGCACTGTGCTGTACGTTTTTAAATATTTACCGAATTACTCGATTTTCACACGAGTCATCCTTTGTTCGAATAAAAACTGAACAGCTGCAATTTTGCTGCAGAGATAATTCTAAGTAAATGTGTTTGATGTATTCACGTAGCAAGGATGCAGTACTAAATTATTCTTTGATAAATATCCAACAAAATCTTCTTGCTATATAAATCACATGCTGTAATACCATACGCTATATGCTGTAATATTTTTTGTATTAGTAGCTGTATTAGCTGTAATAGTATTTGCGGACAACTTAGAAGACCTACAAGTTCTTATGAACAAAATCACGTATTACAGTCAACAATATGGACTCAATATAAACGTTAAGAAGACAAAGCTTATGATAATTAGCAAGAAAAGTATAACAGGTCAACTCTACGTCAACCAATCTCCTGTAGAAAGAGTGATGCACTACAACTACCTCGGGACTATAAAAAATTAAGAATGGACCAACAACCAGGAGATTAGAGCACGCATCGCAAAAGCTAAATCCACCTTCAATCGGATGGGGGCCTTCTTCAAGAGTCACAACCTCTCTCTTGATACAAAAGTAAGAATGCTGCGATGCTACGTCTTCTCTGTCCTTTTATATGGTGTTGAATCGTGGACCTTGAACGAAGATATGTGCAAAAAACTGGAAGCATTTGAGATGGGGCTATATCGGAGAATACTTAAGATCCCGTGGACTGACCTAGTCACAAATGAGGAGGTCCTTAGAAGAATGAATAAGAACCGAGAGGTACTGACCACCAATAAATCTCGAAAGTCTCTTCGGACATATTATGCGAAATGAATCCAGATATGCTCTCCTTCAAGCCATCCTGCAAGGAAAAATATTTGGAAAGCGAGGTCCAGGAAGAAGAAGAACATCTTGGTTAAAGAACCTCAGAATCTGGTTCAATACAACATCTGTGCAGCTTTTCCGCGTTGCTGCAGATAAGATAAATATTGCCATGATGATTGCCAACATTCGTAACGGATAGGCACATCAAGGAGAAGATATGCTGTAATACCATACGCTATTGAATTACTATATACTAGATGGTCTGGATAAGTAACCTCTCTTGAAGGGAAATACATGTTTCAATTTTTTTTTCTACACAAAATTATTTTATTTTATTTAATATATTATCCAACGAAAATTAAAATGAGTGCAAAGGCTTTAACGTTCGGAGTCAAATTCAATAACTCTCTAAGCGTAAGTAACTGCTTTGGCAGTAAACTAAGAAGATAAATTAATTCCATGGCACTCAAAATACACAGAGTAAACTAAATATTAATATATGGCAACTCGCTTAAATTTTTTACAGTACTTACTTATTAATTTTCTTCTTGAGACCATTCAGTCCTTTAAACTCTTCTCCTTGTCGCAATTCGTACAATTTCGGCTGCTTCTTCAATTCTTCCTCGATTAATTTATCTTCTTCCTCGCGGTCGCGTAACTCTTTCTGCTTATGTTCCCTCTGTATAAGTTTGTGTTGTTTCTTGAGGTCTTTGGTCCAAGTATGTTCGTCATCGGAACTTTCCTCCTGTTCAGATTCGTCTTCCGATTCCTCTGAACTATTCTTGCCTTCCATTTCCTCCTAAAAATTAAAAGGGATGGTTTTTCAAAACACAGTACAGTATTTGTTATATCTATAAACGAACAATGCCCTTTAGATGAGAATGGGAAAACTATGGCTAAGAATAAGCGTGTGCAGTAATTTTAAGAGTTACATTATTCAACATAAAGGGTAACTTTTTTAGAGGTATAGCAATGTTAGTAAGCAATACTGTTTTAACTGGCCGCCTGTTGACAGCTGTCAAGTGGTCTATGTTTAGTTTGATTTGGCATTTCAGCATGAAGACAATAGACTGACGTTTGAACTACGCTTTCAAATTGTGCAAATTTATTTTAAAAATCATGGTTCTATTCGAAATAGGTATCGCTCACTCATTTTATGGTCAACATAATCATACATCAGGGCAATTAATTCGATTAACCATGGAACATTTTCGCACGATGTTTACTCTAACTGAATCCACAGTGACGTCGAACAGTGTGTACAGAAGAAGTTGTTGCCGCTATAGAGCGTACTATAATAGAAGACCTGAATCATATTTTGTGTAAAGATCTTGGTTTGCGTGCTTATAAAATCCAACTCGTGGAAGAATTGAAGCAACACGATCACCTAGCAAAGCGTAGATTGGGTGAATGGGCCCAAAACGAGATTGTCGTTGATCCCGATTTTCATAGGCGAATTTTGTTTTGCGGTGAAGCCATGGACGTATAAATACGTCCATGGGTGAAGCTCACTTTTGGTTAAATGGCTACGTCAACAACCAAAACTGCCGTATTTGGAGCGAAGATAATTCTTATGTGTATCCATAAAAACTATCTGTTTGATGTGCTTTATGGGCTGATGGAATCATTTACGTACTTCTTCAAAAAAGAGAATAATTGGTCCGCACTTCTTCAAAACCGATGCTTGTTAGAACGTTACAGTCAATGGTGACCACTATAGAGCTATGATTACTGACTTTTTCAATCCTCAATCAATGATGTGTATTGGCTGCGGTTTCAACCAGACGGCGCAACATGTCACACAGCTCGTGATAAATTGTTTTATCGGAGGAAATGTTTGGTAATCGTATAGTTTCACGTTTTGGAACCGTGAATTGACCTCCAAGATAGTGTGATTTAAAACCATTAGACTATTTTCTGTTGGGATATGTGATGTCATTAGTCTATGCCGATAAGGCTAAAATAATTGACCACTTGGAAGATAACATTCCCCGTGATATTATCGATATATGGCCACAAATGTTGGAAAAAGTAATCGAAAATTGGACCTCCAGCTTAGACTACGCCAGAGCCAGCCGTGGCGGTCATATGACAGAAATTATATTTAAATTATAATGCCAAAAGATTATATTTCGAATAAAGTCAATTTCACGTCAATTTAAAAAAATCATGTTTGTTTTAGTTCATTTCAAAGTTCTATACCTCTAAATAACACCCATTACATTAATGATTTGTATAAACCTTATAAAGAAATAAAATATGACGATATCACTGGACACAAAGAACTCCTGTAAAATTTTCTCGAATATTTTTTGCATCCGTATAAAATCATCGCGGTTTTGGATTTAGGATTAATTTGTAAATATATTACAAGAAGTAATCGTACAAGTAAATAAAACCTGTAAATAATTAGAATAAATCTTACCGTGTATTTTAAATAAACGTTACAATAACAGATGATCTACTTAACAACATATCTCCAAGAGTTCGATAATGCTTAATATTAAAACCCCTGACACTCAACCAACAAACCTGCATCCCAGTAAATGCATTAATTTATTGATAATAATGACAGTATTAGCTTAGCTAATCAGTCTATCATGATTGAACAGCGATGATAAAAAAATAGGCACCAGATTATAAGCTCTTCTTCTTCTTCGCATTTCCTTGTACCAATTACAACTGTTGTATTACTCCATTTTAGCTCCTAATCCGCCAGTTCTTTGTGCTCCCAGTTCTTGTATTCTAGTTTCCCAGCTTTTCCTTGGTCTTCCTCTTCTTCTTTTGTCTTATCACATCACATCGCATTCTTCAGTAATTTATTTTCGTAAATCCTTACGATACATTTAAAACATTATTGTTCTTTTATTTCTATTTTGGTTATGACACTTTTTTGTTTTACAGTGATTCTTCCACTATATTTATTTTCTGCCTGTCCCACATTTGTTCTCTATAATCTTTCTTAGAAATTTCATCTCTAATTCTGTTAACGGTCTTCCATATTTTTATAGCACCACAATTTAGCATATTATGCTGTGGTCGTTCTTGCATATTTCGTTCTTGGTTTTATTTATTGCATAGTATAGATTATTTGCTCTATTTATCCTCTAAGCTTTGTCTAAGTCACTATCATTATCCTGTATAAACAAGTTTTTAGAGTTAGTCAATCAGAGGTGCTAATAAAATTATTCTTAAATATTATGTTTCAAAACGGTTTTAAAATTTGATTTTATACTAGGACGTTTGAAATATTTCCGACTGGAAAATGGCTCGAATAAAGAAACCACTCATAATGTAGTGAACATCCTTTGATCTACAGATCCGACAAAAATCTCCTGTTAGTACTAAATCTAGATTCACTTATTTTGTTTTCATTCCTCTTCACGTAGACTTTTCTTATGCACTTAAACCGTACCTTAGAGTTATAAAGAATATTATAGTCTCGCAACATCAATTTTATAGTATATTTTTCGACAAAGTAATTTTTAAATAAACAAAAAAAAACGACATTTTTGAAGTCATCGACTAAACTCAAGAAATTTAGATTACGATAATATACCTATTATTAGCACTTTTGTCATGAAAAGTGTAACTAGTATAAACTGGATAAACAAAAAAGTGCTACAAAGTTGCATAATAAAATATGGCATAAATAAAAAGTTAGTGTAAAGAAAAGTTTAGCTATAGAATACAGTTCCATTATGGACTTACTTGAGTGGCTTCGTATCAAAGATGAACATAAGTCAAAAAAAAATGAAAATTTAAATGATAATAGTTTCCTGCGAGAACGGACGCAAATACGTTATTTTCAGCTTCACAGTTGAATGTTTGTTTCAAAAACGGACTCCTGCTATAAAAGTTTATTTCAAAAACGGGCATCTCCACAACAGCCAATGAGAATGGTGTATTGTGATCACATGACTGTGAAATCAACAATAACCTCCATTGCTTTTAACTTGTTTGGTGTGAATCATTTTATTTGTGTTTATCACTAGTTTAAACTATTTCTTTGTACGTATTATTAGTTTACAAAGTGGATTCATTAAGTTAAATGTTTCTGTGAGTCAATGGCCGACGGGTAAGATTATCGATCTCGAAAAATAACATCCCGAAACGGCAAAGGTAAATCTAATCATTGAACTCAATCATGTACTTAACATTTGGTTGCTGTAACAAATTGTCCATAGGTGGGAGGAAGTTTGATATGATTGAAGTTACTGTATATGTTCATCCGAGTTATGAATAGTTTTTAAGTGCTTTGTTTATGATGTCTGATTTTAAAATATGAACCTTGAAAGTTGGCTGCAAAAACATGACCAGCCTAGTACCATTTGTTGAAGTTTTTCATAAAATTGAGAGATTCCTAATGAAAATTCTACCTATTAACTTAGTCTATTTATTAAATTAACCAAAGTTTAATTAATTTCTCCTTTTATATGTTTATGCAGGTACTCAGCCAAAGGTCTTTCTCTGTATCCTACCTGTCATCACCGAGTTGGATACCAGTGCCAACTTTTAACAATGCATGATGTCATGGAGTTCCACAAAGCCTTTTACTCCATCCCAGAAAAAAAGCAAGCAAGATGCGTTAAGTTTGAAATACTATCGGGCTGGCCCACCCAACCCCAAAAAGAAAGAAGCTTGAGCCTACAAAGGGGAAACCACAATCTTAAAATATTCGATTGTAAACCAGGCTGGCAACAATCTCAACGTTTGCAGGAATGCTTTTCTCAAGGTGTTGCAGCTTATTACTAAGCATAGAATTATAGGAGTGTTTCGAAAATTCAAGAACGGTGTATCTCATGTCCCAGTGGAAACCCGAGGCGGAAACCACAAGAAAGTTAAGTTTGCTCCGAAAAGAGAAGTAAAAAAGCTCATTTGTAGTTTTCAAGCTATTGAATCGCATTATTCACATCACTCATCACGTGTCTACCTACCATCAGACCTGAATATCGGCAAAATGAGGAACATATTCAATTATGGTAAACAAGAATCTGAAACAGTTACTCAGGGATTTTTCAGGAAATTATTTTGCTCAGTGTGCTCAGTTTTGCCAAAAGTGTGTATTATTCACGACAGTTATACTGTTATAACCTTTCAGTAGTTAAAGGATTGTCAAATAAATCCCTGAATCCCAATACTTTCTCAATTTATACCTGGACGGAAGACGAAGCAAAAAAATCATCCAACGAGGTTGCTTCCATTATATTCAATGAGTTGAGATCAGCTGATTTATCAGGATATGACTCCATTCGTTTGGTATCTGATGGTTGCGCTAGACAAAATAAGAATATAAATATTTTAACTATGTGCTGCAAGTTTCTGGATAGCTGTGCTCCAGCAAACATGCGAAAAGTCTTTCTTGTAACAGGGCACTCATTACTTCATGCCGACAGAGTATTTGGGATTATAGAGAAAACATTAAAAAAAATTAACATACTTGTGACAAAAGAAGAATATCATGAATTTTTTAAGAAATTTGCAGTAATACAAAAATATAACGCAAGCAGAACCTGAAATTTTGGCTGAATGTGACGATTCATGTGAGTGTGACAATAATTATGCTGATTTTAATGGTGATCTTGTGTTAATTTCAGTTTAAATGTTACTAAAGTTTAAATATTTTATAATTTCGAATATTTTAGTTTATATATTTTTTTAGTTAAATTACTTTGTAGGTAGGTAGTAATGCAACTTGAATAAATTATTTTAAAATTGGAATTTTCGTTCAAAATATTTTTGGATATTTTCAATATCCCTTTTTCAAAGGGATTTTAAAAAAACTTTTTTTCCTAAGGATTCACTCTTTCAAATTCAATTTTTTTGCATCAAAAACGACACCTACCCATCACATTTGGATCAAACATGACAGATATTTACCCATTTTTGTTCCAAAAGTGGACATCTGTATTTTCAAATAATAATTTTATAATAATTTCATATATTTCTGATATCAGAATGTCCACAAGATTACTTTTGAAGCCTTCACTAAAATTATAGGAAGTGGAATTTTCATAAAAAGAATAATAGCAGCTGTGTACAAAAAAAACAAATTTATCTCAATTTTTCTTAACTGGCACATGTCCGTCTTTGATATGAAGTCACTTACTTGTATGTATGCCATATGAATATGGGTAAAAAAAATTATTTTGCTTACCTCTACTGGTTCAAATTCTTGTGTCACCAGTTTTTGTTTTAATTTCTTGGCCTTTGCAGTTTCTAACCTAGATAATACTGGATTCAGTAACCGATATTCATCAGTATTTTTATCAACTTCAAAATCTGGGTTATCAAACAAGGCTTTAAATCTATTATCGGCAAGCAAATTGGCTGCTGTAGTTTTATTTTTCTTGCTGTTTTGCTCGTCATTCATGAGTTTAAGGGCCAAGTCTTTGTTAACTTTAGGAAGTTTGTTAACTTGTACCCTGTTTTCTCTATCTTTTTCTATCGTTTCTCTAATCTTCTTCTTTCTGTACTCTTCGAATTCAAATGGATTTGCTACCGACCGTGCCTTCTTGTAAAGTCGAATATCCATAAAGTATCTGAAATGAGAAGTGCAATCAAAATTAAAAAAATGTTAAAAATTACAAAAGCTTTATAATATACTATATACATTTAACAAGTGCTTGTGCAAATCATATAATGATAATAAGTCGAACTAGATAAGATCTATCGGAAAAGCCATTGAAAAGATGAAAAAACAGTCATTTCAATGAATAGAAACACAAAATGTACAGATATCGCCAGAAGAGACGCCAAAAAACTAATAAACCTATTTAACGAGACCGATAAAAAAATGTCTAAAACAAAAATGTGTTTCGCAAAAAAACATTTTATTTTTTAACGTAATCTGCTTATTTAACAAATTTAAGTGTTAAGCATACACTGGTGCCATCTATTTTGATAGCCATGAACGAAAACATTTTATATTGTTTTCTGTCCTTTGCGCTACACGAAATGTGCAAAAGTTTACGTCTTCTATCAAAACTTGCTATCTCTTTGAAACAGACACGCTTTTGAGAAAAAACAATATTAACAAATTATTTTCGTTCATGGCGATCAAAAAAGGTGGCACCTTTGTAAACTTACAACATAGGTGGGAAACAGTAAGAAGTGTTGCAGCCTTTGTTGGTCTTTGGTGTTTGATCTTGTATTCAGTCCCCGCACCTGATGACGTTGAGAGGTCGAAATACCATTATAATGCGGTGTTGTTAATAATATACAGGGTGTGACAGATAAACGGCCAATTAAAAATATCTCGAGAACTAAAAGGAACTGAATCATCAAAATTTAAATGAAGGGGTTTTGAAGAGTGACCAATTTAATGAAACTATTTTCATATATTTGCTACTTCCGGTTACACTGGAAGTTGCTTATAACCTATTTTTTTAATGGGAAACTTTTTATATACAATGTATACTTTTTAATTTTAGAAATATTCACGTTATTCTAAACTTTTTTGTTAATACTTTCCTATACCTATTGTGAACCGTTTTTGAGTTATAATGGTTTTTATATGAAAATTACACTTTTCTACATGTATATAAAGTTCAATATCCTCTAATGGCATTCAGAGAATAAAAAAAAACTCTATGGATCAGTTAAAACACACCATTAAAAGATGTAGCAAACGAATTTTTACTATTTTTAACTAGATTTTAAAATGCATTTTGTCCATTATTTTATAAGTTATATTTTATATGTTTGTTATTAATGTTGAGTGTCATAGCTTTATACAAATAATCTCAATGACTAGTAAGTACACTGACATTTTGTGATATATTGTAAATATTTACAGATTTTTCTAATTACAGTGTCTTTGAAAGTGAAAAGAGTGTTTCTGTAACATCCCGGCCAAACTTCTGACTGCAGCCCTCTTACCAGCCATTTACTGCTTGCCAAACTTTTCGAACCGCCTTGATTTGTTTTGGAAAAAATGCTGTTGTATTCAATTCCGCCTGTAAATTCTCCCATATCATCAAATTCCTTCTGGAAAAGTGAATCTTGCAGTTTACGGCCTCATTGCCTCTCCAAGCAAGTTCAATGGGACTTTTTCGGAAACGAATATTTTGATTTCTTCACCTGACTGGCATCCAAATCTTGATCTTTCGTTTGGATTCATTGTATCTGTCCAAAATCGATTACGCTGTCATAATTTTATCATAATATCTGTCATAATTTTGTCGCTGAGAAATCACCTGCAGGAATGAGTTTTTCAGTAGGAAACGTGGCATTGCTATGACGTTTTATCAGTTAAAAATAATCTAGTGAAATAGTCGTTACGAGAGGTTTAACAAAACAATCATCTATGGTAGATATATATGGTTGACAGACAAATTGTTCTTCGTAATATTACATTTAAGTTAAATAGTTTATATAATATTGAGGATATTTCTACGAAATTAGTGCTGATATTTAAAAAAAAAAAAAAAGATAATACAGAAGAACTTACAACAAAGCGATAGATTAGAGAAATATTTCTGCAAAACTTACCCATGCATGTAAGCTCTTAACAAATTTGTTCCAATGAGATGATCCAATCCCAAATTTTCTAATTCAGCTTTCGTGATGAATTTGTAATCGTCATATACATTTTCTGCACTGTTTTCTTCTAATTCTTCCGTTAGGGAATCCAAAAAGCTGGCCCATTTTGGAGCTGGACCCATACTAGGAATATAGTAAGTTTGAATTTTTGGATTTTCGTTAGCTAGGAAGAACAAACCTGTATTTGGTACTGTACAAAGGTTGTTAAATTCAGAAGAAGCGTCTATTGAAGTGTATAATTTGCCCTGAAATATAAATAATTTAATAAACCATAAAGTAAACTTTGAAAAATAAGGCTATTATCGAGCACAAGTTTAATTAAATCTTGCCCAAGGAGTTTCGCTTAAAATAGCATCTTCAGGGGCATCTAAATCGCGAAAGTAGAAATCAGAAAATTACGATTGACGAAACCGAAATTTAGACTTTTGCTTTAATCTGTGCCTTCTAAGAACTGAAAGGCAAAACAGAAGATGCTAAAAAATGTTTTCACGTTCAGAGCTTCTGTAATAATCGCTCTGATGAGTCGTGTTAGCATGAAATACATAAGCGAATATACAGAGGCACTATACGTGAAATCAAATCTTGACTGTCTTTTTTTTAATATTTAAATACTTAATCTTAACTTTGAAGCATGTGCAGATCGTACGGATATGTCAATTACTACAATAATCATAGTATAGTAATGTATAAAAGTTTCAAAAATGTGTGAATACAAGGTAGGACTACTTCTCGATATTATCAAAAAACTTTTCTGATCTTTTTTCGTAGTCCAAAAGAAAGCTATTATTTTAAATCTTTTGTTGGTAAATTTTAAGGTAGAGGTGTAGAAAATAAGAAACGAGGAGAAAGAAAACTTCTATTCCAAGAAAAACATATTTTGTGTTGAGTTTGTCGTTAAGCCATCCACGTCTCTACTATAGTTTAATTTTGTGAAAGAGATCCGAAAAAAATTAAAGACAAAGAAAATTTGGACAGGCGTACTATAAGGCGTATATAGTTAACTATATTGTGATCAATAAGACAAAGATAAGGCTTGTTATCAATATCATTATAAAATATCCGCAAAACCAAATATTTCAACAAGACAAAGCTTCGTCTTGTTGTGCCAGACAAAACCATATACAATTAACCAACTACTGTGGTTAATTACATTTTATACAAATTAAAAGTACTGTAACATGGGAAAACAAAATAAATATCTTGTAAGCAGTTACTGAAAATCCACATATAAGTATACGGAGTATTTCCAAAGAAAAAGAACTAACCTACTACTCTGTGCAAAGAATTATTGCAAAAAATAGAATGCACCCTTACCGTATTCTGTTCTCGGACGCGACTAGTTCACGTTCGAGACGCATCGCCCCGCCCCTTATTTTTCACGTTGGCCCCTCCCTGACCTGGAAATCCCTAATCGCTACTTCAGAAAGTATAAAAATAGGCGATTTTCAGGTCAATAAGTCAGTCCTTCACGGGCTCTCCGAGAGCTTAGTGCTCTCGGGGCTCTGCTTTCTTGTTTTTAGATTTTCCCATACTCTGTGGCTGAGATGTTATTCTACTGCAACCTGGTATTTTTATTTCGACTTAACCTTTGTCATGTAAGAAATATCTTGCCTTTTTCAAGGCAAGATACCAGAAGAAAACATTTTCGAGTCCATACCTTGAAAATGGACTTAAGTAGAGGAGCTATCGTTGATGTTTTCGAAGCCCTCTACAGAGCACACGGTGGTACAGAAGGTGCTTAGACCCTTATTAATTACCCCGCGGTGACAATTCAACTGCCCCAAGAATTAAATCAGGAAGTTTTTGAAAAGAGAATCGTATTTTGCGAATGAAAATCAATCAACAAAGATATTTGTTTGATAATGTACTACATAGAGATGAAGCTACGTTTCACAAAAACAATTCTGTTAATAAGCATAACTTTCATTATTATGCCACAACTAATCCATACCACATAGTTACACACACTCAAACTAGATGGTCACTGAACGAGTGGGGAGGTATTTTTGGTAACTATGTCGTGGTACCATATTTTTTGAAGAAAACTTAAATGGTCAGATGTATTTAGATTGTTTAGTAAATCAATTGTCCATATTATTAGAAGACGTTCCACTTCATATACATGAACAAATTTGGTTTTTGCATGGCAATGCGCCTGTTCATCGTAATGGATTGATTCAAGGTGAACTTGACGATCAGTTTCCTGATAGTTGGATTGGAAGAAATGGACCAGTAGCGTGGCCACCCAGATCACCAGAATTCAATAAAATGGACTCATTTTTTGGGGTTATGTTAAAAATGAAGTTTATAAAATACCTCCAACAAAAGATAGAATACGAACTGTATTTCGAAGTGTTTGTGTACAAATGCTTCGTAATGTAAGTGGCTCATTAAATAACCGTTTTCAGGCCTGCATAAGATTTTCGGAGGTAATTTTGAACATCTTATGTAATTAAATAATACAAATATTTTATTAAGAGTAGATTTGAATTTTTCCATAAATGTTGTATTTTGTGTTTATGTGTTTTTTTGTAAAATTTATTAATAATAAATTATTTTCCTTCTTTATTTGTTACATTATTACATTGAATACCGAATTAATAAGCAGTAATGGTGAACTGTCAGTTTCAGACAATTCAATCATGGCTTAAGTACTTACAATTTGTAAAAATTTATACACCTAATTAATGACGCTTTGAAATGAAAATATCGTATATTTAAAATTACTGAGAAAATAATCGTTACGAAAAAAATTCGTGCTTACGTTTTGAATCATTTTTGAATATTTTGACAACTAATAAAAACATGTGGCAGCAATAAATCATTGTTATTGTGCTTCTTATTAATTATACAGGGAGTTGAACTTGTTACGACATAGAAAATTGGTTATAACTTTGTAAATACCGTATATAACATAATAAAACTCTATATTGTTGTGATAGGGAAGTGAAGAAGATTTGGAATATGAAATAAAATACCATTAAAATTCCATTAAAAAAAAACATAATTTTGGTCTGTTATCCAACAGTTTGCAACATTCTAACTAATTAACTAATTTTATAATATGAACCTCAAAGTTGCCTACAATTTTTGTTATTAACTTTTATTGCTATCTATTACTTAGGCGGATCTATTGAGCTTTACCCCACTAATCAATCACCCTGTATGTTATACTAGTCTAACATTAATTAACATCCTTATCCACATAACATATATATATATATATATATATATATATATATATATATATATATATATATACATATATATATATATATATATATATATATATATATATATATACATATATATATATATATATACATATATATATATATATATATATATATATATATACATATATATATATATATATATATATATATATACATATATATATATATATATATATATATATATATATATATATATATATATATATATACATCCTACTATCATTTTGGCATCGATACATTATGCTTTTACCATCAATTTAGCATCGTCTTGCAAAGTAGCATCTGTATATCGACGCTACTTTACAAGACCTTAATAACTTTTTTCCTGTACTTGTTACAAGAATTTTAACCATCTCAATGATTAGAGATTTGATACCGTGTTGGTATTTTAAAATGTCCGCTTTCTCTTTTTATCCCTTACTGAGTTATATAAGTTTATTCCAGGAAATGTTTGAGTCTAAAATGATGGTACAGTGAAAATATTATATATATTTAGTTCAGTGTTTTACCGTTTACTCGCTGCCATTATATACATGCAAATGTATATCGCACTTTCATTATCAATCATTTTGGCATCAGAAATTTGGCATCGCTGTTAAATATAATATTACCCACAACGAAATGGTAAATTTAAGAATTTATATATATTTTTTTCATCCATAAATCATTCTAGCATCTTGTTTGATTAAAAATAACGGGTTACATATTGGCTATATATAACGGGGTATATATTGCATATTTTTGCTCCAATTGGTCCAGTCGTGATGTACAGCACCTCAAATGATAGGATTTAACCAATAAAATACAATAAGACAGAAAAGCAGCATGTCAAAAAGGCCTTAGTTATATATCTTCTATCTAGGATTTAACCAATCGAAAACAATGAAATAAAAAAAATCAAATACAGCAACATGTCGAAAGGGCCGTAGTCACGTATTTTTGATCCTATTAGTCCAATCGTGACGTATAGTACCTCTAATGATAAGATTTACCGTAAGGAATACAATGGGATAGAAAAATGAAATACAGCACAATGTCAAAAGGGCCTTAGTTGTGTATCTTCGGTTCTGTTAGTCCAATCATGACGTGCAGTACCTCAAATGAAAGGATTTAACAAATAAAATACAATGAGATACAATGAGGTAATGGATTTGCATGTCAAAAGGGCCTTAGTTATGTACCTTTGGTCCTATTAGGCCAATAGTGACGTACGATATCTCAAATGATAGCACTTAACCAATCTTCTTCTTACGGTGCCTTATCCTTAAGGACGATGGCCATTACATTTGCCCATTTAATCTTATTTGTAGCAGTTCTGAATAGTTCTATGGTGGTCATGTTCGTCCATTGCCGTAGGTTTTTAGAAAGAGTTGCAAGAGTTTTTTTGCAAGAGTTGCGTCTTCTTCCTGGTCCTCTTTTGCTATTGACTTTGATATATATATGATATATATATATATATCATATATATATATATATGATATATATATGATATATAACCTTCGATTATAAGTTGGAGCAGTTCATACTTTTGACTTCTTATGATATGACCAAAATATTGTGTTTTCCGTTCTTTTATTATAAGCATAAGCTCTCTTTCCTTATTCATCCTCCGCAAGACTTCCGCATTCGTCGTATGGCTCATGTAGGATATTCTGAGCATTTTACGGTAACACCAGAGTTCGAATGCTTGGATTCTTTTTTGTGTTGCTTCTGTCATTGTCCAGGCTTCCACACCATACAGCAGGGTGGAGAAAACATAGCACTTAAGTATTCGAGTTCTCAATGAGATGCCCAGCTGGCGGTTGATAGAACTTTTTGCATTTTGTAAAACATTGTACGTGCCTTTTCCAGGCGTATTCTTATCTCTAGTGAGTGGTCCCAAGTTTCATCAAGATTACTTCCAAGGTACGTTGTTCTTGTTACTCTATCCAGATCTGTTCCGTCGACATTGACCTTCACCCTTCTGTTTTGGTGCTTGCTGATGATCGTCGTTTTCTTCTTTGTATTCA